TGCACCTCCTGGCAGGGAGTTGCAGAGTGAGATGGTCCCTCCTAAGCCTGGCTGATGGTCCCCCCAGGCTGAGCCCCCACAGCTCCTCCAGCCTCTCCTCATCAGACTTGTGCTCCAGTCCCTTCCCCAGCTCCATCCCTTTCCCTAGACATGCGCAAGAAGCTCAGCAGAGATGATATGCCTGTGGCAGTCAGTGCTGCAGGGGATGACAAGCCATGAGGAAAGGCACTGCCTTTGCCATCCAAACATTTCCCTTTCCCCTAGCACAACCCCAAAACTTTTTACCACTGAGCTCTACACCATGTTCTTCAGGTTTGTGGCAGATGCTGATACACGCTCCAAACCTCCCCTGAAAACCTCCATCAGGCTGGCAGGGCCTGGGCACTCACTCGCGTGCAGATGAGGGTGAGATATGCCCATACTTCAGCGTTGGTGTTGTTTAGGGCATTGGCTTCAGAGAGAGCATCTTCTGCTTCTACCATCTCCTCCAGCTTGAGGGAGAGAAGGAGAGGCATGGACAAAGAGCAAAGAGCAGGCAGAAAGGGCTTCAGAACTGAGCAGGCATCGCTGTAACAGCAGAAGAAATCAGTGCAACAAAAGCTCCTAACAGCTGTCCTTGGCAGCCCTTCAGAGGTGCTGGATTCCCTTGGACAGGGAGAGCACTGAGACTCCTCTCTGCTGGCATCCTGCTCAGTTCCTTGGTGGTGACACGCAGGCCACGTGCATGTGGGGCAGAGCCCAAGCCCAGACTGCTTGCCAGGACACCCTGCGGAAGGAGGTGCTGGCAGGAGCTGGGATGAGGGGCAGGACAGCAGGTGCTGAGGCTGGCACTGCCTCTATGGGCAGCCTGGGTGCCACGCTGGGGCACACAGGACACAACAGCCTTCAGGAGCACTGGGTCACAGGCAGCCAAGTCTTCCTTCAATTAAGGGGATCACAGAAAGTGTGTGCGCCACAGCACTGACTAAAGATCACAGAGTCACAGAATCAATCAGGTTGGAAAAGACCTCTGAGATCATCAAGGCCAACCTATGACCTAACACCACCATGTCAACCAGACCATGGTACTAAGTGCTATGTCCAGTCTGTCCTGAAACACCTCCAGGGATGGTGACTGCACCACCTCCCTGGGCAGCACATTCCAGTGTCTAATCACCCCTTCTGGGAAGAAATTCTTCCTAATGTCTAACCTAAACCTCCCCTGGCACAGCTCAAGACTATGTCCTCCCCTCCTGTCACTGGTTGAGAGAGAGACCCCACCTGGCCCCAGCCTCCTGTCAGGGAGCTGTAGAGAGTGATAAAGTCACCCTTGAGCCTTCTCTTCTCCAGGCTACACAGCCCCAGCTCCCTCAGCCTCTCCTCACAGGACTTATGCTCCAGCCCCTTCCCCAGTTCCTTTCCCTGGGCATGCTCCAGCTCCTCAATGTCCTCCTTGCAGTGAGGGGCCCAGAACTGGACACAAATGACATGAAGGCAGTTGCACTTACCCTGTAGCAAGCGATGCCCACCCCCAGCCAGGTGAGGCAGGACGCAGAGTGATCACAGGCCAGCAGGTAGGTCTGCTTTGCCTTGCCATACTGCCAGGAGAAACACAGCCATGTATCCCTCTGCACCACCACATCACCAACAGACAGCCCCTCCCTGCCTCGGCGTTCTGCCAAACACCCCATTCCCAGTGGGGTTCAGACACCCACTGTCTCCACTGCTGCTGGGGGAGCAACCTGCTTTGTGGTTGCCCAGGGAGGTTGTCAAGTAGCCCAGGGAGGCTGTGGTTGCCCCAACCCTGGCAGTATTCATTCCAAGCTGGATAAAGCCTTGAGCAACCTGCTCTGGTGGGAGGTGTCCCTGCCCAGGGCAGGGGATTGGGGCACGATGATCCCTAAGGTCCATTCCAACCCTTAACATACTATGACATTCCCCTCCAGCACTGCTGCTGCCTCCTCACCTCTTTCTCCTCCAGGTAGATGGAGCCAAGGTGCAGGTAGACGAAATGCATATCCACAGCATCCTCCACAAAACTGATGGTTCGCTCATAGCACTCCTTTGCCTTGCCAAAGTCCCTCTTCAGGTAGCACAGGTGTCCCCTCTGAGCCCACACATTTGGATTCTGTGGACACAAACCCTGGAGTGAGACACAGATGGGAGACAGGAGGGAGAAACACCTGGGAGGGGGCTGGGACACCTGCAAGCAGCAGAAAGGAGGAGCTGAGCTGTGTTTATGTTATCACAACTCCCTGCAGCACTCCAGGCTGGGGGCAGGGGAGCTGGAAGCTGCCTGGTGGGAAAGGGCCTGGAAGTGCTGGTTGGCAGTAGCCAAACATGAGCCAAAGTGTGCCCAGGTGGGCAAGAAGGCAAATGGCATCTGGTTTGAACCAGCACCAGTCTGGCCATGGGACGAGGGCAGTGCCTGTCCCCTGTGCTGGCACTGCTGATCCACCTCCAGTCCTGGGGGCAGTTCTGAGCCCAGGAACACACATGGAATTACCGTGGGGTCAATCCGAGCAGCCTTGTGCAGATATTCCTCACATCTGGGGAGATCTTCCTTCAGCCAGTGTATCTGGGCTGGTTTGAACCAGCACCAGTCTGGCCATGGGACGAGGGCAGTGCCTGTCCCCTGTGCTGGCACTGCTGATCCACCTCCAGTCCTGGGGGCAGTTCTGAGCCCAGGAACACACATGGAATTACCGTGGGGTCAATCCGAGCAGCCTTGTGCAGATATTCCTCACATCTGGGGAGATCTTCCTTCAGCCAGTGTATCTGGGCCCCAGCCAGGAAGTATGCTGGGGCCTC